GTGTGTGTGTGTGCGTGTGTGTGTGTGTGTGTGTGTGTGTGTGTGTGCGTGTGTGTGTGTGTGTGTGTTCGTTCGACAGTGCAATGTGGTTGTTGCACCAACTGCTGCTTGTCGTTTTTTTGTGCGTGCACGCAGCCGTTGTGCGATGCGTGCACAAGCCCGAGTGACTTTGTCGCAAACACAACCTCACTCTCTCACTTCTTCATTCACTCTCACTCACTCACGTGCACACACACACACACTCTCTCTCTCTTACACACATCTACGCCTTGAACGTGATGCAGTCTTCCCCACGCCCGCGCTGGGCAAGATTGTGATTATCAACTCTGATGCCACGATCCTTGATGCGGTGAAGACGCTGTCGTCCAACCACATCCTGTCTGCGCCCGTGCGCGACGTGACCCAGCCCGAGGACGCCTCGTGGACCGACAAGTACATTGGCATGGTGGACATGGTTGGCATTGTGTTCCACATGCTTGGCGTTCTCGGCTCTGCCGCCGGCAAGGAGGAGGACTTTTCCAAGCAGATTGAGTCTGTGGAGAGCTTCCAGAAGATGCAGGTCAAGGACGCAATCTGTACGTAACACAATTGCATGCTTGTGTATCAGGCGTGCATGGTTGCTTTGCCTGGTGGTGCCCGTTGTGTGATTGGTGTGTGCATTGTCATTGCATTTGTCACTTTGAGACGCTCTCTTGGTGTGTTTGCTTCCGAACTCTGAGTTTGCTGCATTGAGCTTGTGCTCACCACTACAAACACACACACACACACACACACACACACACACACACACACACTACACACGCGCGCACACACGCACACACATAGCGTTCTTCCGCTTTGGGCCGTTTGTGCCTGTTGACCTTGAGCGAGGCAACCTGCTTGACTGCATGCTGCTGTGCGGGCACCATGGCATCCGCCGCGTCCCCGTCGTCAAGACTCCAGGTGGTGACATTGTCAACGTCATCACCCAGAGCGCCCTCGTCCAGACGCTCGAGGCAAACCTCAACCGCTTCAAGGTCAGTGCGCTTTGGGATTGTGTTGGATGTTCTATGTTGTGACTCTTGTGTTCGCCTGTTCGGTTTTGCTTCATTCGCCCTTGTTTGTCGCGCCACGTCACATGTAACAATACCCCATTGTTTTCTACATTTCCAACGCTACGCCATCAACGCCCCACTCCGCCTGCTTCCCCTCTGTCTTTCCCACCTCACCTCTGCAACTTTTCCAACACATACACACACTCACTCACGCACACACACTCACACACACACTCACACGTACACCCCCCTCACACACACACACATACACACTCTCACACTCACACACACACTCTCTCTCCCCCTGTCGCTGCGCGTGCGACAGGATGTTGGCACGAAGACGCTGAAGGAGGTTGGCCTTGGGGACAAGGGCCTCTTGTTCACCGTCTCCCTCGACGACCCGCTCCGCTCCGCCTTTGAGAAGATCAAGGAGAACGACATCAGCGCTGTCCCGGTCGTCGACGCCGAAGGTGAGCTTGTGTTTGGTTTTGACTTTGCTTGGTTTCGTTTGTGTTTTTGTTTTGTGTGGTTTGGCTTGGCTTGGTTGTTTGTTACTCATCTTCGCCTAAGTGTGTGTTCATCTGCACATGCATATTGGGCCCTTTTCTGCCGTTGTTCATGCACAATGCCCTCGCTATTCCTCCCCCCCCCTTCTTCAAACGCTTCCCTCACTGTGACTTTTCCTGCTCACCCTTGCGCCCTTGCATCCTGCCACCCCTGCTGCGTGCGTGGCTCCGCAGGCAAGATCCACGGCAACGTGAGCGCGCGCGATGCCCGCCTTATCGTCGGCTCCACCAAGATCTACAAGCTCCTCGACATGCCCATCAAGGTGTGTTTGTGTTGTTTGCGGTGTGTGTGTAATTTGTGTTGTTTGCGTTGTTGTTGTGCGCGTGTTTGCATACGGCCTCACACTTACGCACACACACACACGTGCACAAACAATATACACGCTGACATGCACACACGCGCCCCCTCCGTTGCCCTCCCATGCAATCACACGCACACACACACACACACCACCACCACCACACACCGCAGACGTACCTGGATGTGGTGACGGATGGCGCCGAGAACTCTGCCATCACGTGCAAGTCCACAGACAAGCTTGAGACTGTCATTTCACAGCTTGTGCGCTCGCGCATCCACCGCATCTACGTTGTGGATGACGATGGCCGCCCCCTCCGCGTCGTCAGCCTCAGGAACGTCCTCACCAAGTTTGTCAAGGAGGTGCGTACCCCTTGGTGCCAGCGTTGTCTTGTGATGTTGCTTCGTTGTGCTTCCGTTGTCTGTTCCTCTGTTGTGGTATGTTCCTGTGCCCATCCCTGTTGCGACCACCGTTTATCCTCACAACACATCCCAACCAACCAACCAACCAACCACCCTCACCCACATCATGTTTCGCTTCCCCAACCCCGTTGCACCCCCGCCACATACATCGTTACCCATCATCACATCATCATCGCCACCCTACTCACACAATTGTTCTTGTGTGTGTGTGTGTGTGTGTGTGTGTGTTTCTTTGCCACCGTACAGCCTGAGGGCTACTTCGGCCACTACTTCTCCTACTAGAGAGTGGGCGCCCTCTCCCAAAAAGCACTCTGCACACACCGTGTGGTGCCTGTGTGCTGTGTTCTCTGCTTTCCTCCCCCCCCCCCCTCTTTGCTTGCCTTGCGCGTTGACTGCTTTGGCTTTCGTTGCACTGCTGTGTTCTTTTTGCTTTCGTGTGTCGCTTGGTTGCTTGGTGTTGCGAGGCTTTTCCCTTTCCTTCGCGTCATCGTTCGCCACCGGCCACCATTAAAGTGTTGCGATTTTCCGTGAAGATATTCGCCATTATTCTATGTTGCGTAGTGGGCAGCTGTAGGCTGACGTGATTCGGGGCCTCGAAGGTGATTGCCATCATGTCACGAACTGCCATATTTGTCAGCCTTGCCACATCCAGCGCAGCCGCTGTGGCAACCACCAAAGTTGTGTGCCTTGTGGTTGATTGAAGGTGAGTTGGTTGCAAGCAACGTGGTAACGATCACCACAAAGGCATCCCCCAAGCAAGCAGGCAGGCAGGCAAGCAAGCATTTCCTCCCTGCCCATCCATCCATCACCACGAGCTCACATATCGAAAACCCTTGTTCATCTCCATTGCATCGTGGGGTGTCGTGGCACGGGGTACACCCAACAAACTTGTGCGCAGTCTTCGATTGTTGTGGTGCAAGCAACCGTTTGGAACTTTGTGGCACGCCATTCAATCATTCAAGCCCTTGCGGTGTCGTGTCAGTCCTGTGTCATCATTTCCCAGAACCGGAGCTACAACGACTCGCCAACTTCGCCTTGCTTGGAAGACAGGTGCGGGCGCGGGTGAATGAGTGGTAATGTCATCCAAGTTGCAGCAAGCGAGCGAGGGAGTAAGCGGAGTGAGCAAGCAAAGCTCGAGCGGGCCACACGAACGTCGTCATTGTCGCCCAACAGTCGTGTCTTTTCTCAGCGAGCACTCACGCTGCTCTTCTCTTCTTCATCTCCACACTCGTACATAGTACCAGCTCGTGCTACGTCACACGCACACACGCACAAACACACGCACACTCTCTCTCTCCCTCAAAACGACAAAGGACTGCTACGCCAGCATGTATGGTTTCATCCCAGCGGCAGCGCTGGCGTTTGTCAAGCAGCTGCCCAACAGCGAAGATCTCCTGGACAAAATCAGCCGCCGCCTCGACGGCAACATCAACACAAACTTCTACACCCAGTGCGTCCACCACAAAGGCACAGCCGTGTGTGTGTCTGTGTCTGTGTGTGTATGTGTTTCTGTGTGTGTGTGTATGTGTGTGTGTGTGTCTGTGTGTGTATGTATGTCTATCTGCTTGTGCATCAGTACGCGCGCTCTTGTCGGGTGCGTATGCCTTCAATGGCAAACCACAGCAGACTAACGTCCCTCTGCCTTCCCTTCCCCCGCCCCCACACACCACACCACCAGGTATGACGACAAAGAGACGCTCCTGGTTCTCAACACGGTGGCTGCGGTCACCAACCTGTCGTTGGAAGACCTGCTGGCCAACATGGGCACGGTTCAGCTCGAGCAGTTTGAGGAGAAGGGCTATGGACCCTTGATCAGAAGTGAGTAAACAACTGCGTGATTGGTTGATGTTATTCATGTCACTATATGGACCTTGCTTGTTGCACGTGCTAGCTTCAAGTACCCTTCGTTCCCTTGTCCCTAGATTTTGATTCGTACACCCACACGACACTGGCAGCAGCACACTATCAGCACAACCGTCAGCCCAGCACAACTTGCGACACTGCTTCCCCTCCACAATATGATCTCATCTCCTCCGACCTTTCACCCCTTCCCCCCCCCCTCTTCCCATCTTGCCCTACCTCCGCGCGCCAGGCCTCGGGTCGACCATGTTTGAGTTTCTGGAGCACCTCGACAGCCTGCACCTGAACCTGGTCCACTCGTATCCGAACATGAAGGCGCCCAGCTTCCGCCCCGAGCGCCTGCCAGACGGGCGCGTGCTGCTGCACTACTACTCGAGCCGCCCGGGCCTGTGGCCATATGCAACCGCGCTCCTCTCACGCATCGGCCACGAGATCTACGGGCAGACAGTGCACTTTGAGCACGTGCAGAAGAAGGAGCAGGGCCACGACCACGACATCTTCGAGGTGGTGTCCGCGACGGGCGTCGAGCGGCCACAGACCAAGCACGAGACGGCGAGCAAGGAGCTGCTCACCTGCGACGCAACCACAACGGAGTTTGACGAGCTCTTCCCCTGGCACCTGCAGGTCGACTCGGACCTGCGTGTGATCAGCATGGGCAGCTCGCTCGCTCTCCGCTTCAACGAGGAGGAGCTGAAGAAGCAGAAGCGGCTCATGGACGTGGTCACCGTGACCCGCCCAAACCACGTGCTCAACGACTTTGAGCACCTGAAGCAGTTTGACCGCACCGCAGTGATGCTGATGGTGCGGGACGAGTGGTACTCCCAGATCAAGGAGCAGAAGCTCGACGAGAAGAAGAAGGCCCAGCTCATGCGCGCAGGCAGCAGCCTCTTCAACGTCGATGCGCACGCCAACACACCCGCCGGTCCCAGCGGGTGCCCCTTCCACCGCAGCAGCAGCAGCACAGCCAACATGGGCAACGCTATGAACGCGTCGTCGTCGTCCCTGTCGTCGCCTGCAAAGGGCGGGCGGGCACGTGCAGGTGCCACCAACCCAAACCTCCTCTCTGTCAATGGTGGTGGCGGCGGTGGAGATGATGGCCAGCAGGGAAAGGTTCGGTTCCGCAGTGACAGCATCTTCTCGACAGGGAGCGCCATGTCGGCCGCGTTTCTCAACGACCAGTTCATCTCTGCAACGGCAGACTTTCTTTACCTGCAGGGCGAGTTTAGGTACAACCCACGCGACAACACGCTGCTGTTTGTGGGCGTGCCCTCTGCGCAGACACCGGAGGAGCTGTACAAGTGCGGACTCGGTCTGCCCGACATCCCCATCCACTCCAACGGACGCGAGATGCTGTTCAACAACGTCCACCAGTCGGCCACGGTTGGGGTCGCTGCGCAACTGGAGCAGGTGACGCAGGACCTGGAGAAGGCGAAACGCGAGCTTGGCCTCGAGAAGAAGAAGGTCCACGAGCTCCTCTCAAGCATCCTCCCGCAGGTTCGTGTCGCCTGTGTGTGTGTGTGTGTGTGTGTGTGTGTGTGTGTGTGTGTGTGTGTGTGTGTGTGTGTGTTGAGAGGGTTGGCTTTCGTTAGTGGTTTCGTGCTTCTGATGCTTTCTCTCCCATCATCTCTTTCCCCTGCATACACAACTCCACATGCTCGCTGACACGCAATGTGCCCTATGCCTGGCTGTAATCACGCAGACTGTGATTCAGTACCTTGCAAACGGCGAGGAGGCCCCCGCTGAGCGGTTTGGAAACGTCAGCATCCTTTTCTCCGACATTGTCGGCTTCACCAAGATCTCCAGTGCCGTGCGCCCAACGCAGGTCATGGACATGCTCAACAGCCTCTTCCTCCGCTTCGACCAGCTCTGCGACAAGCACGGCGTCTACAAAGTCGAGACCATCGGCGACGCCTGTGAGTCCTCTGTGTGTGTGTGTGTGTCTGTGTGTCTGTGTGTGTGTGAGTGAGTCCTCTGTGTGTGTGTGTGTGTGAGTCCTCTGTGTGTCTGTGTGTAAATGTGTGTAAATGTGTGTGTTTATGTAAATATCTACATGTGTGGCGCTGATGTTCTCCACCACTGATATTCCTTCCCTGCATATGCCCTTGACTTCGCCATTTCACAGACATGGTTGCGTCTGGTCTTCCAGAAACGACTCCCGACCACGCAGAGCGCCTCTGCCGTACGTTCATTGCACCCGATGCAAACGTGCTGTCCACACAACGCCAATACAATGCCATCAGCCATTTACTGCCACTTGCACTTGACATAACACTCCACCCCCTTTCTCACCTGCCTCCATCATCACCCCCCCCCCCCTTCACCACCGTCGTGACTGACTGCACCAAGGGTTTGCGATTGACATGCTACGTGCGAGCCGGGAGGTGCTGTCGCCCGTTGATGGCGCCCCAATAAGGATGCGCATTGGCATGCACAGCGGCTCTGTCATGGCGGGAGTCGGTCAGTCCGCAAGAAGCCTGTTGTTTGTTTGTTTGTTTGTTTGTTTGTTTGCTTGTTTGTTTGTTTGTTTGTTTGTGTGTGTGTGTGTGTTGTGTCTCTGTGTGTCTGTGTTGTGTTGTGTTGTGTTAGTTAGAAAGTTCGTGTACACTTGCTTAACATTCATCTCACCGGTTCTTTCACGCCTCACCAAATCTGTTGTTCATGCAGTCGGACAGACGCGTCCTCGCTACTGTCTCTTTGGCGATGCGGTAAGCTCTCATGCGCAACTGATGCCAAGCATGAGCGTGCTTTCATCACACCAAAGCGCCCGCCCCATTCACACACTGCACTCCCTTCTCCCGCTCACACACACACACACACACACACCCAAATGCACACATATGAATACACTCACCCAATGCGTGCCGCCTTGCCTCCAGGTTGCTGTTGCGGCGCAGATGGAGAGCGCTGGCGTACCGTCGTGCATCCAGATCAGCGCGTCGATGATGAGCGAGCTGCGTGCCGGCAATGCGACGGTGCAGTCCCGCCCGCGCGGCGAGGTCGAGTTGAAAGGCCGCGGTCTCATGCAGACGTTCATCCTTGTTGGCATGGAGAAGGTTGACCCGCTGCTGCTGCCGCCAGATGACGAGGTGGGCGTCGGTAAGAAGATTGTCGCGTCAGGCGGGAAGGAGGCACTGTTGTCGATGAGCAATGGTGCAGATACACACTCCGTTTCGTCGTCGGCCCCGCGACGAGACAGCATCGCGCTGCCGCTCGCATTGCAGATGCTGCAGCCGCAACACCCGCAGTCACCACGTGAGTCTTCGGATGGGTTTTCGTTCGTGTGCTCACTCACTTGTGTTTATTTGTTTGTTTGTTCGTTTGTTTGTTTGCGCTTGTCTTGGTGCGGGCACATCAACGTACACATCACCTAACCATTTCCATGGTTGCAATTGCTTCATCTCCTTACAATCGATGCTGCCATCACCACTACCACCGCCCATCTCTCATCCGTCATCGTGTGTGCACGTGTACAGCCGAGCCTGTGATGTACATGGTGCGGGTGCAGGCACGGCATGGCGAGACGACAACCCTTCTCGGTGTCCAGGAGTCGATGACGCTTGGTGACGTCGCCGCAACCGCAATGCAGGAGCTCGGGTGCGTCGACATCTTTGTGCTCACTTGTTGCTTGTTGTTACTTGTTGTGACTTGTTGCTTGTTGACACTTGTTGTTGTTGCTGCCTGTTGTTGTTATGTTGTGGCGATGGTGCGTTTGTCATGAGTTGCTGCATTCTCTGAACAAGGTTCTCTCCAACACTGACAGTTGTGTTGCCATGTGTCACACCACCTTTCCCATTGTCCTCCCCCTCCCCTCTGTTGCAGGCTGCCGGCGACGCGACTGAGCGTGTTTGCGGACGAGGCCCGCGGGAAGATGCTGCTGCTGTGCCAGCCGCTCGGCACAGCTGTCCGGAGTGGCGTTGTTGCGACACTGACGGAGAAGACGGGTGGCGGTGATGGTCCCGATGGCGATGAGAGCATGGAGTTTGTCGAGCTGTTCCTTCGCTAGCCTGCGCTTTGTCCTGTCGCATTGCCGTGTGTGGTGCACTGAAATCAGCCACACGTGCGTGTGTGTGTGTGTGTGTGTGTGTGTGTGTGTGTGTGTGTGCGTGTGTGTGTGTGTGTGTGTGTGCGTGTGTGTGTGTGTGTGTGTGTGTGTGTGTGTGTGTGTGTGTGTGTGTGTGTGTGTGTGTGTGTGTGTTTGTGTCTTTCGTTAGACTGCACGCTGCTGCCACGGTGTTGCATTGCAACCACGAGTGCTGTGTGCTCGCTGTTTTGTGTGCTGTCGATCAGATTACTGCTTTCTTCCTTTCCTTGCTTCTCCCTCATGTCTTTGTTTTGGTTTCTCTCGCTCCTCGCATACGTTGACAGCCATCACCTGTGTCTGATTCCTTCTCTGACCACAATTGCTCCTACTGCTGCTTCGATTGCACATGAACGCAATGATAGTGCTGCACCGACATGTTGCAGCAACAGCGCCTCTTTGCCCCCCCCAATACTTGATCCCTTTTGCTCATTTGTTTCTTTCTTTACCCACCTTGCATCTGATATTCCTCTCATAGCGTATCTCTAGAACCCAAATGCACCCCTTGCTTTGTCACACGCACACACTCATAGCTTTCGGTTGTCGGTTGTTGTGTGGCGACAATGCCCTGATGTCATGTCACTCCCCGCTGGTTTTCGTATCATATAGAACCCCATCCTGACAGCTACTGCGATCTTTGTGTTGTGTGTTGAGTGTTGTGTATGGTGTATTTGCGTGAATTGACACTGACAGACGAAAGCAAACAACAGAAACAAAGATGGGAAGAGGTTGGCAGACAGAGGTGTGGTTGTGATGATTTGATGACAGTGAACTGATCAACAATGATGGTGGAGGTTCTGTGATATGACGATGGCATGGGGATTGCGATAAAGTCAGCCAAAGATGTTGCTGTGGGTGTGCCCACCAGGGGGTTGGCGTGCCCTGTGGCAACACACACACACACACACAAAAAAAAACACGAAAAGGTGAGGAGCAGCAAAGCAAGTGTGACACAATTCAGCAAAGAGGGCATGCAACGCGAGACTTGCCCTGCCAAGATTCTTCCTACAACACACACACACACGCACACGCACGGATGCAGAGCAAGTAGCAGGTGCAGTGATGGTGTCACACCTGCTGCTTGGACGATCGATCCAGTGTCCTTCGAAGCGAGCACCAGGGTGGGGCATCTCACCACCAGGAATGCGGCCACGTGCGTATGGGTTCTGCACCTTGGACGGCGTTGCGTTTGCAGACGTGTTGTTTGCAGCACCGTTGGTGTCATCCTCTGGTTGGCCCTCGAATCGCGAGCTGGGGTGTGGCATCTTGCCAGCCTGTGATGCACACGTGTGTGTGTGTGTGTGTGTGTGTGTGTGTGTGTGTGTGTGTGTGTGTGTGTGTGTGTGTGTGTGTGTGTGTGTGTGTGTGTGTGTGTGAGACAGAGGAACGATGAGCACCAGCAAGTCTGTTCCTCCGCATAAAGCAGCGCATGACAATAAATTGCTACCGCCACGACTGCTGCAGCAACACCACACAATCAGCACAACAACTCACGGGAACACGGCCGCGTGCGTATGGGTTCTTGCGAGCAACTTCGTTCTGTCCGTTGCGCTCGCCTGCGAGTGTTGTCGCCGTCACCTCGAAGCGCGCGCCAGGGTGTGGCATCACGCCACCCTGACAACGATACCAGGGACGATGGGACGTGATGAGCATGTGGATGAGAAGGCGTGGATTGTGAACGCAAGCAAAACAACGAATACTGAGATCAATGACACACGCACACGCACGCACACACACACACACACACACAAAACATGACACGCATACACACACACACATCCGCACACAAACAACATGACATGCACACCACAACGTCACATCACACCACCAGCACCTTGATGCGCCCGCGAGCGTGCGGGTTTGCGGCCATCTCTGGGTTGTGCACGACAGGCTCCTTTGCGTACGGCTGCTCGTCAGCGCCAATTTCAAAGCGCATTGACGGATGGGGCATTGTCCCGCCAGGCACCTTGCCGCGCGCATAAGGGTTCTTCGCCATCTGCTCGTCATACATGTCGTGTGTGTGTATGTGTGTGTTGTGTTATGTGTGTGTTGTGTTATGTGTGTGTTGTGTTATGTGCGTGTTATGTGTGTGTGTGTTGTATGTGTGTGCGTGTTGTGTATGTGTGTGTGTTTGTTTTGTTGATCGTGAAGACTGGGTATGGTTGATAGAGCACACATGGTAGTGTGGCTGACGTGACATGAGTGACCTCAGCAACGGCGTCACATGTTGACGCACCGGTGTGTTGGCGGCACTTGCTGGCTTTGCTTGCGATTCGCCCTCCACAACAGGCGGCTCAAACCTGTCACGCGCAGCCCAGGGCACACGCATTCGCAGACACACATATGCCAATACATGTGAGGGAGGGAGGGTGTGTACGTGTGCGTGGTTCATACACGCGACCCACGTTCATAGCAGAGGGAAGAGCAAACCAACAATCATGGACACACACACACACACACACACACACACACAGCGCTGTTTTCAAGTCAGCAGGCAAGTCAACGTGTTTACCTGGCAGCTGGTGGCACGAGGGCGCCTGATTTCCCTGCTGGCGTCTCTGCTGTGGCCGGATCAACCTGAACACATCCAGATGTGTGTGTGTGTGTGTGTGTGTGTGTGTGTGACGCGACAATGTAAGGAACGCGCAGGAACAAAGGAGGCTTGTGTTCGCACAGACACGGTCACGTGTAATCTGCGTGACACACACAAAGTCACATCCACACACACACACGCAGGCACAGACAGGCAGACACACACACACACACACACACACACGACCATGAGCACATGCACCAGCGCGGGGGCGACCTTGCGTTGGATTGGGGTGATTGATCCGCGCGTGTCCTTGATGAGGTCCCGGATGAGAGCATCAAATGCGTGCGGGCGCGACGCGCCGACGAAATGGAACGCACCCGGCACCACCTGCACACACTGCCGCCACAAGTTTGGCAAACGCAGCTGCACTTGCGAGAGGTGTGTGTGTGTGTGTGTGTGTGTGTGTGTGTGTGTGTGTGTGTGTGTGTGTGTGTGTGTGTGTGTGTGTGTGTGTGTGTGTGTGGACGAACAAGAGACAGGGCAAGTGAGAGAGGATTAGAGAGACAGAGAGAGTGTGTGTGTGCGAGTGGGTGGACTGATGAGGCACAAGAGAAGCAGGGCACCACGGTGTGTGTTACATGCACACATGTGGGCGTGTGCGAAATCGTACAGATGAGATGTAATCGTAGGAGACGAGGTGGTCGTGTGCGCCAACAACGAGGCCGAGCTTTGCGCGGGAAGAAAGCTCAGAGAGGCTCTAGTGATGATGATGAAGTGGAGGTGGTGAGGATGCAAAGCGAGGGACAGAGACATGGGTGAGTCAGTGAAAGTGGAAACAAAATTGCACTGCGAGTATCACAAAGCGAATGTGTGTGTGTGTGTGTGTTCGAATGTTTAGACTTTCATCTCCGAGTCACCTTCAGCTCATCGAAGGTGTCGAGCTGCAATTCGTGGCGAACAACCTGTCATTGTCCAAACAGCAACACCACGCAGCCGTTAGAACAACATTGCACACACACACATGCACACATGAACACGCACGTACCACACGCACGCACACACGCGAACACATACGCATGCATAGTGAACAGAGCATGCGTTCCACTTGCGTTTCTGTGGCGAGCGTCGGTGTGCTTGATGGCGTGTGACACCCAAGCAAACGCGTCCTGTTTCAGTTCTTCCGGGGACACAAAGTGCCGAAGCAGCTCATGCACATCCTGATGCAATGTGTCGGATGAGCGTGCAAGCAGGATGAGGCATCCGTGACAGCTGAGCGTGAGCATGCAAGCCACAACATCGTGCGTTTTCCGCACGCGACACCACGCGGCACACGCGACACCATCCCCCTTACCTCGGCCGTGAGGTTGACGGTGTCGGCCATCTTGGCCACAGCCGGCGCACGTGCAAGCAGCTAGACCACGGGAATGGAGCAAAAGGAATAGGAGCAACGCAGAAGAGTGTGCGTGTGTGTGCATGTGTGTGTGTGTGTGCGAACGTGTTTGTGGTGTCACTAGCAGCAGAACACGGCACGAGCAGGGTAGGATTTGAACGGCCTTGTGCTGCTGACAACGCATGAACCGTACCTCTCCCGATGACTGCCAGGCGTTCTTCCGCAGCGGGGCTGTGCCAACCATCATGATGCTTTCCACTACAACACAAAACAGCACAGGGTTGATGAGGGCGTGTGTGTGCGTGTGTGTGCTGCGACTGCATTGCAGGCGCGCTATTTCGTCGCTGGTGACATGGGCAGGCCTCTCGATCCAGTCCACTCGCATGCACAAACAAATATCCAACGCACGCACGCACGCACACACGCACAAGCACACACACACGCACACACGGACAACCACAGACCTTTGATTGCGCCGTTCAACTTGAGGCCAACACGGGCGCCAAGCCCGCTGCCGACAACATAAGCGGAGCGAACACCAAGC